CTCCGATGTCGTCACCAGCGGGGGCCCAAGGCATCGCGAACGTTACTATGAGTTGAACTTCAAGGTCGCCTCACTCGGCTCAGAACATTGCTTAACGAATCGAGTAGGCGACCATGCGATCAGAAGAGTACTAGCCTCCGACATCACCCTGGTCGCCACAACTGTGCCGCAAACCACCCCGCGCTTGATATCGCATGTGACTGCATTTGCCAACCCACTGTCGCATAGTGGGCATGTATGCAACTTCACAGGAAGACAGTCGCTTCTTCCCAACTGTACACTCTTACGAGGTCTTGCATGGGCATGAAAGCACCTCGTTCTATCCTCAATCACGCATCTTGTCAGGTATCCGATGAACAGCAATACAATGGCTACGGAACAGCGACTTGAAACAAGTCTCCCCATTTTAGGCTCACCATTTGTCCCCAAAGGAGAAGAAGATGATGGATTGTGCGAAGGATGCCACGTGCTGTCGAAAGAAGAGAAGCCTCCATTCCATGAGACTTACCAGTACCGCGCCTTGCACAGGCCACAAGATACCATCAGGTTCCTCGCATGGCCCGCAGACCCCAAAGATGTAGCTTACTTGCTAGAAGCCTCAATCAAAGACCTTCCTTCACACGAGACGGTGTCTTACGCTTGGGGTCATGGAACTGGATGGCCACTCGCATTGAACAAGAATATCGGCACGGCCACCAATAGTACTGTTCATCTTCCTTCCAACGTCGACAAGTCGACCTTAAACGTCAGCGTCACAGTCTCCCATATCCTTCATTTCCTCCGGCCTGCGACAGGTTGGCGCTTACTCTGGATCGACGCAATATGCATCAACCAAAGCGACAACGCAGAGAAGTCTTTCCAAATACCTATGATGGATCGAATCTATTCCAAAGCAGAGAGAGTCATCATCTGGTGCCCACCATGTAGAATTCATCCAGCGAAAGACGTTGAGACGGCAATTGATAATCTCAACAGCTGGAAGGGACGTGAGCCCGAGATTCTCGAAGCTCTCAACAACGGGTCATTCGGTGATGCAGCCTCTGAAGATCGACAGGATTGGCTGCCATGGAAATTGCCGCCTACACATCAGTTCCACATCCCAAAGGCCTGTATCGATGCTCTGAACTGCGTAACGCGCCTGCCCTGGTTTGAGCGCGTCTGGACTCTGCAAGAGTTGATCTTAGCTCGAGAGGCAGTGGTGTATTTTGGCCCCAACACGCTGGAATGGCAGGAACTTATCAGTGCTTGTCTCCAAGCGCATAACTGCGATTTCCTAGTGGAATGCAGAAGACTTGCAGAACTCGATGTCTTGCGTAACCTTTACATGGAGTCTGGTTCGGTCGATAAGACAACATGTGGGAGGGAACTCACATATCATAAAACGCTGTAAGTCCTCTTCTGTACAGTCTGTGTGATAAATCTGCTTCAAAATGATGCGAACGTGCTGACTGCTCGTAGGGCAAACATCCTGCGCATCATTCGCCCCCGCAAAGCCACGAACCCACGTGATAAGGTCTATGGGATAGTGGGTTTATTGAGCCGACATGATATAGCCAGCCCAGGTCTCATAGTGGATTACAGCCTTCCCGTTCTAGATGTGTACCTCTCTGCCTGCATTGCATGCATGGAAGTTCAAGGAGCTCATGCAAACATCACATTCCTCCAAGACGCTGGCTCAGTGGCGACAACCAACCAGAAGAGGCCACATGCTCGGGTCACCACAGAAGGAGAATATTGGCCGTCTTGGATCCCAGACTGGACAGAGGCGTTGCCAAGATCATCGGGTCTACTTATGGGATGCCTACAAGCCAACGGTTCTTCAGTCTCGAAAGGGAGGGCATCAAACGCGACCATTCTCGCCCAACACGAGCACATCGGCCGGGTGGAAAAAGGTCCTTGCTTACGGGTTCAGGGAGTACGCGTTTTGACGATTCAAGACTTCATACCCCGTCGTGGCAACGACTCGTTCAGCGACTACTACGACCTTCTGGATAAGGCAGATACCATGTACTGCAACACATCGCTGTCTACCCAGCACGCATATTCATATGTCGGGAGTGCGCATATACATCCCCGGCGAGATGATCAAGTACTGCCTCAAGTCGCAAGCATCTGGTCGTATATCAAAGACGATATAAATTCTCCGGACTCTGATTTGGGGAAAGATAATGCTGCAGTCAAGTCTACAATGGGAAACGGTACGACAGACGAACCAATCTCTCGTAGGATGCATGGCAGGATCGAACTCGATATCCCAGAATCTCTCAACCAGAGACTAGAACAGGTCGAATGTCGCGCCAACGACGGAAAGGGAAGTTCGAGTTTCCAGTGCTTCGTGAGCACGACTGGCTTCATGGGCCTCGTATATCCTGACGCACAGCCCGGAGACGAGATCGTCATCTTATTTGGACTAGAGATGCCCTTCGTAGTCCGACCGGATGCTGAACCTGGGCATTATCAGCTCATCGGCGAATGTTTTGTCTTAGGTCTAATGGAGGGTGAAGCGATAGAGGGACTAGAGGATTCGCAGGTGGAAGACGTCTATCTGTGTTGAACAAAGGGTTGCCGCGCGATAAGTGAAGTTTGTTTGGGAGGCGTTCGCTCCGGAAGAAACGCTCTAGCAACGCGCTGCGTATCTTTTGTAGTAGGATCATGAAGCCACCCATCCTGTTTTCGTTTGTCCCTGTGACCTATAGTGTCCAAACGTATGTGTCATGCCCCAACGCGACGCAAAAAGGTTGCTACAGCCCTCAACCATGCACCATGCCGCGCCAGTTCTCGACGCCCTCGCTGCGGGCAAAAAGAAGATACTGTCAGTTTGCCAGAAAGGCAAAAAGAAACGTTCAGGGCCGAACCGGAGTCGAACCGGTGACTTCGGGAAGACGGTTTTTGGTCAACTGCAGTCCTACACTCTACCACTGAGTTACCGGCCCGTGAGTTGTTTCGATGAATGATTTGGTGATCTGTGACGAAATAACGTTGAGCATTGAGGGTCGACGTGGATGTTGAAGGGAGACCAAGGGACGAGCTGGAGATGCAGATGTGGTGTGTGAACCAGTAGCGAAGGAGGGGCAGTGGGGCTAGCGCTGAGGGACGGTGATAGGCTGCGAGCCCCAACCTGTGCGCTAGGTAAGATCCTGTCTAAGTGTGGTCACTGTGCCTACGTACTAGGTACAGTTTTGAGTGGAATGTCAAACGCGTTACCTGTGAAGAACGCGTATATGGGGTATCATCTTGTGCATCGCACTGTCTTGCCAGTGTAAACTATCTAAAACTCCAACTCCTCAACTTCCATCCCGCACTCTTCACACCTCTTCTTCGTCATGCCCGTTTCCGGGTCAAGCACACTTCTGCCCCATTCATGCTCGTGTCTATCATACCTTCCCTTTATCTTCTGTCCGAATTGCGCATCACCGTTATCGCCTGCTAACCGCGCCCGCTTATACGCTTCCACCCTCGTCCTCTTCTTCAGATCCTCAAGCTTGTTCTTGAATTTCTTCTGTTTCCTTTCCTTGCTCACGACCTGTCGCTTCGCGTACTCCTCATCTAACGCCTCTGCCGAACCCCATTTCTGTGGGCTGAAGGCATAGGCTTCGACTTGCAGACGCAAGAAGAGTTGCATGGGGTGGAAGAATTGCTTGTGTGGGTTCGGTCGTTCGAGATGAGGGAGGAGTTCTTCGTCTTTGAGCTCGGGGTCGGTAAGGAGGTAGTCGTCTCGCGCTTCGGTTTTAGTGAGGAGGGAGTATTTGTCTGGGAGTTTCTCCCTACAGATACTGCATACGCCGATTCCGAATACGTCCTGCCACTTCCAGTCGATCTCCAGACTGTTGCATTCTCGACATTTGCCCTTGACGTCGCGCTTGCCGTCGCCGTATTTGCCTTTGAATGTGCCGCTCTCGATCTCCGCGTTCTCAGCAGCCTCGAGCAGCGCAGCTTCCTCGTCCTCTTCTTCTTTGCCATTGACAGTGTCCAAGATAGAGATACCCGGCTCATAAGGTCCGGCCCGGTTGGCGCGGAGCTTTCGTCTTATGCGCTCCCTCTCCCATTCTACCATTGAAACACCCTCTGGTTTCTGTTCCTCATTCTGTTGCCCCTTCCGCATAGCCTTATTGTGCGGGTCGTCTACGGTACTCAGGAAACCACCCTTCGTGTCCGTCATTTTGCTGAAATCGTAGTCAATGAAGTCTGATCTCGCGTACTTCTTTGCCGGCTGAATATAATCGTTCGAGGGTGGCTGTATGAAGCCATTTTGATCGCGTTTCTGAGGAGATGCTGCAGCCGCATTACGAAGGGTGGCTGGAGTTTGCGCGGCGGTGATGGACGAGTATGCGCGCTTCACACCTGCGACCGGCGCTGGTGAAGGTTTCGATGCTTGTATCTGTTGTGCAGCCGCCTTTGCCCTCAGACGAGCCTCCTCTATGCGCCTGATTTGCTCTGGAGTGGGCGGATTTGGCGGGAGCTTACCCGCTGAGCGAGTCGCTCGTGGCGGCGTTGATGGTCGTCCGGACATGTCGAGATAATGAGGGGGTTCAGATGTGGTTGTGGTACGCTCGCTCGTGCTTGAGTGAATCAGTCAAGAGTTGCCTGGCAGGAGGGCTAGAGGCGCGCAAGTGGCAAGTGTCATCGGGGTTAGAGCGATGCGGAACCGGGACCCTTGTTCCTGAGCAATGATGTACGCCAAGAGATTTCACGATCTGTACCTTCCGATGCGCGTCTCAAATCACTATCCATATGCTAATCAAGTCTGCGAAATCGTTTCCAATCTTCCATGATGACATATTTGTCACATCCGGAAAAGGGCGGTTTGCCATGCTGCGCCCTTACCAATCCCCTATGACTCTTACGTGTGGCTGTGAGCGGCACACTTCACAGCGACTGTCATGACGAACCATGGCACTCTTCACAGAGTGGATCCAACATACAGTGTTGCTAGTTTAAGACCAAACATCCCGCATAATGCTCTTTCTATCATCTCTGCAAAGACCGTTTTCTCCAAAATCATGCCAGACGCGAGCACACGTGCGCACGTGGCGAGCGCTTCGGCGGTCTCGCTAATCCCTACCGCCGATCCCCAAGAAAATGTCCAAACCTCAGCACCGGAGGACAGCGAATACAGCAGCGACGAGCCCACAACCGCAGCGGCAAGACGAAGGAAGCGCAAGCAGCTTCGCAAAGAAGAGCGCAAGCAAGAGAAGCAAAGGCACGACTCCGCCCTTCCTACACCCAAACATTCCGACACCGAGACATCAAACAACCAACCCCGCAAACCTCCGAGCAAGCAAAGCCACAAGCCTGCCACCGAAACCTCCGACTCGACCGTATCCATACCACAATCGCCCTCAATGGCGAAACCCGCCGCGCAAACAGCATATCCCCTCCTAATAGCCTCCATCGGCAATCCAGGCGCAACCTACGCCAATACGCTCCACTCCGCCGGCCACATCGTCACCTCCGCCCTCGCAGAAGCAAAACGCTATGGTCCCTTTCAAAAAGGCATGTCAGGCCTAATTTCGAAACCTCCAGCCACACACATGGCATTCGGCTTGACCGGATACCGGAGAGTAGCGACAGACAAAGACGCAATGGACGACTGGACATTCTGGCAATCCACATCATTAATGAACATAAGCGGCAGCTCGGTAAAGAAGGCGTATAGTGAGTGGTTGCGCGGTATAAGGCAGGCTTCAGGGAGTGCCACGTTAGAGGGGAGATTGGTCGTTGTGCATGATGAGCTTGAGTCTGCACTGGGAAAAGTTACAATCCGAGACGGTGGCGCGAGCGCAAAGGGGCATAATGGTATCAAGAGCTGTCAGGGGAGTCTTGGAGGCATCAAGTGGTGGAGAGTGGGCGTTGGCATAGGGAGGCCCGAGAGTAGGGATCCGAATGTGGTGAGCAAGTATGTGTTGGGCAAGATGACGTCCTACCAGCGGGCGCAGTTGGAGAAGACGACTATACCAGTGTATAAGGCATTGGAAGATATCGCTGCGGGGAAGAAGTAAGAGTTTTGTATAGCGCGATGAAGCATTTCCAAGGCGTTTGGGACGATACCCTATGAGACACGGTAGAGCGCTCTGCATGAGAAGTAACAATAAAATGTATGAATATTCAACTGAATGCTGTAAACGATGAAGCATGTGAAGGTATCGTGCGATAAACCAGAATCCGATGCTCAGGACAACACCATACTCCGATAACATGTGTCTTGAACATATTGATCAACCAGACGAAAACGCAACACTCTTCTATGCAAAACGCCAGTGAACGATCAAGAACCGACAATTGTAGTACCGTTCTTCCTCAGTCTCTTCCTCTCTTCCAGTCTCCTTCTTGCTTGCTCTTTGCGGTCAACAGGCAACATCTGGCTTCGGTCATGCTTCACTTGCGCAGAACCTTCTGCATGGTGTGCTGTGATTTTTGAGAGGTCAAACTTCTTGTCGGTGGGAGCATGGTGGGATGCTACATTGACTTTTGACTCGTCCGGCCTCTGTCTCTCCTCTCTTTTCGATGAAACAGAGGTTGCCTCGAGCTCTGAGACGTGTGTCGCCTTCTCGGTAGCACGTTCCCTGCGTCTTGTAGATTCAGCCTTTTGCTCGGGAACCGTAACCTTCTCGTTTGACTTGGTTGTCTCTGTCGACTTTACGTGCGATACCGATCTCGATACTCGATGTTGCTTCGGTGGTGGGTTCCACTCTGGCCGTGAGTATGGCTGACCGGTGGAGACTGGTAGAGCCATTTTGTCCATTTGAGCTATCGAACTGTTGTTAATATCCATCCAGGGATCAAGACCCGGAGATGGTACAGGCAACGGACTGGACGGTGGAATCGCGGCGGGCGACTTTGGCGCATAATTCTCGTCAGTTGCGACTGGCCTGCGGATCTTCAGTGGCGATCGCTGCGGTTGCTCTTGCTGAGGCTGTGCAAGCGCCTTCTCCAGAGTGACCTCAAAGGGGCGTGTTGGTGCGCGGGGCGATCTGCCTAGAATGATAGAAGATTCACCCTCTGCTGTTCCAAGTCTAGACGGGAGCACTGGTCGGTTCAATGTGTCGGGGATCGTACCACGGCGGTGACGGCGGGGCTTGGGCGACGAGTTCTCTTTGGTAGACGAAGCCATGCTGTTATTGGGAGCGAATGACACTTCAGGATCCATATCTAAGCCACGCGTGGGCGATTGTGGGTTATCCTTATTCGCATCTTCGTATATCTCGAATGGAGCTTTGTTCTGTTGGAGCTCAAAGGAAGGTATCGAGCCTGACGCTTCCAGAACTGTGATCCGGGCTTTCAGCGCTGCAATCTCGATACTCGACGACATGCTCTCGGCCATCGCTTGACGTAGCCTTTCCTGAAGATCCTTGTTCTGTTGTTCCAGGTCTCGCTCCCGTTGCCTGTATCGCTTGCGTTCCTGCTCGAGCTTGGTAGATAGTTCCGTAGCTTCGCCGTCCTTCTTCATAGCGAACTTCTTCGCCAGCTGCTGCTTGGCAATGACCTTCTTCATCTCCTTCTCGCTCTTGTCCGCGTAGCTCTCGTATTGCTCCTTCCAGTATTTCCCAGACTCCGAACGTGGGGCACCCAAGTCTATTGTGATGTCACTGTCGTCTCTCGCCTTCGGTTTCTGCCCCGACTTCGGTTGTGTGGTTGTCCGCGCGTCAAGGAGGGCTTCGGTGAGGCGAGTGCGTGGTCGTTTGTCACTTTCCGGGTCAAGCTTCAGTTGTGTGCCAGGTGTCCAAGGGCTCGGGAACTTCCCGGGGCAGTCACTGGGTATGCCGGTCTTGCCAATATTGCCGCGCTTGCCTTCATTGTCTACCACGTGCGACCCGAACGACACCTGCTTCCTTCCCTTGCTTGCGGTACCAGGCGTCATGAGGATGCCGCCTGGCTGTTTCGATGGAGAGATGGGCGGCCCACTCTCTTTCGGCGCGGGGAGGCTAAATGCTTTTGCGTTTGCTGCATCTATCCTCGCCTTCCTCTCGCTCTTCTTGGAGGCATCTTTCGCTTCTTCGGGTGCAGGCGTTCCAAATATGGCGTGCTTGAAAGCTTTGACGGCGAACTGATGAGCGGGCGTCTCGGGAGGTTCGATGAAGGTAGACTCGTAGTCATTTTCTAAGACTATTAGTACGTCTTTAGACGCGTAGCTCAGTGCGACAAACCAGGCTGGAGATCTTCTATCACGTTCGTGATGCGAGGACCTGTAATCCACGAGAACATGGCGGAGCGTGAATCGTCGTCGTGGGGCGAGAGAAGAGAACTAAGAGGGTTGGTGGGAGGATGGGGATCGCATGCGCCGTGTGGATATTTCCGTGTGTTTGTTTGGCGGATTGTTTACACGCACAAAACGAGGGCTGAAGGTGGACTGGACGCTTTCGTGCACGTCGAATAGTTCCAGATGAGTCGCAAACACCTCCAGGATAGTATGCGACAGTCTGCTAGCGCATCGTCAGGGTAAAGGAAGGTGCGGTGCTGTTTGTTGTGTCTGCTCGTCGATCTCCAGACATGAGGAAGTCGCGTCCGGCGGCTCTGCTGGCGCCTGCAGGGATGGCGCGGAAAGGAAGGGTAGCGGGGCGTCGCCAACATATCGCCCCCACCGACCGCTACTCGACGTGCGTTGGCCACGAAGTCTCTACATATCGCCATTCTCATCACTTTTCATTCACTACAAATTTTTAAGATCGAGATGTCTGCAGTGTGAAGGGCAGCAGCTACGGCTGCTAGTCTCTCCGTCAATACCCATACTATATGACGGCCTATTCAACCAACCACCAGTAGCCCACTATGGCACCGCTAAGAACACCAAAGAACAAGAAACAAACGCACAATGCATCCACGCCAGGAGACGATGACATGGGCCCAACAAGTCCTCTCGGGGAACAGCGACCTTCGCTGGTTTCACACACCTCCGAAACCTACGAGAAGGCACAAGAAGATGAACGCGAAGTCTTGAAGGCTGTGTTCATGGACGACTATGAAGAATCAGAAGCCAAGGGAGCATGGAGCGTAAGTACAGAAATCTCACCACTTCATTCACGGGCTAGGTTTCGCACTCGTGCAGACTTGAGCCCTGCGATAATAAATCCATGGTTTACGCCATGCGACCGACCTTTGCGGAACGATTGTCTTCATCTGCTTAATCTCCGCTAACTAGAGGATAGAAAACCACAGATCGCGTATTGCGCGTCAAATTGACGTCTTTCTCTAACGAAAAGATTTCCATCACGCTTTGTGCGAAGCTTACGGCTACTTACCCCAAGACTCTGCCTGAACTTTCCCTGGAGGACTGCGGCAGCCTCAGAAAGAGCACTTGGGATAGGCTCTATGGCCTGCTCAAGACTCGGCCTCGCGAGCTGGTAGGCGAGGTGATGATTTACGACATCGCGACGGCCATTCAAGAGATACTAGAGGATGAGATCGCTGTCCGCGAGACGGACGGTACCTACGAGAATCTAGATGCCGAGCGAGCAGTCCAAGAAGCCGCTGCTGTCGAACATCTAAAGCAACAGGAAGAAGAGTTACAGAAGAAGCGTGACGAAGAGAAGGCTGAGGAGGAGCGTCTTCTGCAGCAGATGGTAGGTGACGAAATGCGTCGAAAGGATATGTTGGCAAAGCGCAAGAAGCACCGTGTATCCGCCAATACTCCGCCTTCGTACTTTCCCAGCGCTGAGAGCAACAACTACATCTCCTTCGACAGGACGATCGTTATTCAGCACGAAGACTCGACCATCCAATGCAGTGGCGTTGAGAATCCGCTTCCTTTGCGTTCTGGTCCTTTGACCGAGCAGCTGTTGGTGAAACCGGCCGGAAGCACAGCAACGCTTACATTAGTACTAAAACGTGCGCGGGTGGGGGATGGAAACGCTGCTGCTGGCCCACAGCTGAAAAAGGCAGTAATGGAATTCGAAGACGAGATGGAAGAGATCAAGCGACTGCGACAAGGAGCCATCATGGCGGTGCTGGACTTCAAAGTAGAGCATCTACCCGATTCCGGATGGGAGATTAGTATTCTCATGGATCACGCCGACAAAGGATCTCTAGGCGAGAGGCTTTCCGATGATGGACCCCTACCAGTCGCAAGAGTTCGTTCCTGGACCATTGAGCTTCTGGAAGCACTGGACTTCTACCACCGCAACGGTATAGTCCATAAGCGCATCCACCCTCACAACGTCTTGTTCAAGAGATTGTCCGGTGGTGGAGTCACGGTATTGCTAGCCGATGCTAGCTTTCAAGGCTCTCTTTATCATCTCCGGAGCTTGTGTCGGGATGAACAGCCGATGAAAGTTGTAAGATCGTTTTACTGGATAGCGCCCGAGCTGTCTCAGGATGCGCGTCACACCCGCAAGACGGATGTATGGGATCTCGGCGTCACGTTCCTACAGATGCTCTTCGGCCTCGATGTGCCTGAAAAGTACAATTCACCCAAAGAACTGTCCGATATTCTTGGCTGCTCGGAACCGTTACAAGAAGTTCTGCGCAAGTTCTTCAAGCCCGACCCCAAGAAACGACCCTCAGCCTTTGACCTCATCCCATGTGAGTTCTTGCGCGACGATGTAGACGTTTACGAGCAACCCTCCACACCCGTACGTTCGAGGAACTCTTCAACTTCATTGGGTCGGTATAGGCTGCGACGGGAGTCTTCCTCTGGCGTTGTTCCGTCATACTCACGATACGCGAATGACTGGGCCGAACAAGGTCGCTTGGGCAAGGGCGGGTACGGCGAAGTCGTAAAGGCCCGCAACAAAGTCGACGGTCGTCTTTATGCTATCAAAAAGATCAAGCAGAAGTCTGCTGCAGCGTTGAGCGAAGTTCTTTCGGAAGTCATGCTCCTTTCGCGCCTCAACCACAGCTGTGTGGTACGTTACTACACCGCCTGGCCAGAGGCCGAAGCAGATGACTACTATGACTCGGCAACATCAGATGGCGACGAGTCTGACTGGGAATCGGACGTTTCTCCAGGTACGACTACGACTGATGGTGGCGGTTACGGAAAAAGCACTGGTGGTTTAGACTTCAT